TGTCCCTTTCATTCACACACATACACTATCACATGCACAAAGTTGATTAATACCTTGACACTGATAGAACCTAACAATGAACCTAAAAATGGCCTGGGACTGGTAAATTCACCTTGAATACTGCCTGTTGATCTCTGGAGCTCAGAAATATTTGTGTGCCTGCTCTTAAATAAACCATGTCTAAATGTGGCCATTCATTTCCTTCCCTGTTGTCATACTTGAGGATAAATTTGCATCTTGTGATTTATTATTTGTTTCCTGACAAATACTTTTTTGCACATAGTGCCTCAGAAGAACTGATATTTTCAGGGTAATGGCCATTTGAGGGTTTTGCCATTTTCTGAAGTAACTTGTGTTTTGTGGTGAATTTTTCACACACATTTTTTTTTCATTTTTTTTTCGGAGCAACTAAATTTTAATAAGTTACAGAACAGAGTAGTTAACACTTATTGTGAAGTTTCTGGAATTACATACAAGAGGAATCATTTAGAATGTCCTCCTAAATTTTGTATATCTCCTTTGATGCAGCAAACTATATACTTTATTTAAAATTTTTTAATTGAAGTATAATTGACACACAATGTACATTAGTTCCAGGTGTACAGCATAGTGATTCAACCCATTTTTTTTTTTTAAGATTTATTTCACACACATTTACACAGAGCTGTCAAAGCCCCATGCTGTGAGGTTGGGATGCTGATATGGGAACTTTGCAGTGCTAGGAAAAGACCATAAATAAGCATGGGGAGTTTTGAGCATGTGACCGAGACTGGATGAATGCCACTTTTACCTAATTACATGAGATCCTGAATTGTGGAAACAAAGGCCAGCTTAAAAGAAATTCAAATGAAATCCTGATTTTCCTTACAACTTTTCTGAGGGGAAGAAAAGATCAATCTTTTCATGCAGCATGAAACTGTGAAAGACTATGAATTGCCACACTCAGAGCCAGCTGGGAATGCACATTAATCAGTGTCCGAAGCAACCATAAATTTTGACCTACTAACTGGACTTGGGAGAGTAAATGAGTCATTTGTAGCAGAGCGAGGCTCCTGTAGGATGTACACTGCAGGCCTGTTGAGCAACCAGCCAGGTAATATCTGAGTCCTGCTCACAGCCGTCATGCTCTGAGGCCTCTGGGACAGAGATTTGCTACGACTTCAGGAATGCGAGCACTTCTGTTCTGCTATGATTTATGTTTACTGTAGTTGCAGAGAATGTATGCCTGCCTCCCATAATTTCATCTGGTCTTTTTGGCATCACTTTTTTACATTCCTATTGCCTTTCTCTCCTGAAGTCTTTCATTTGCATCTCATGGTGCCCTCCCCCGATTTTTTTTTTTTCAAATTGTGGTAAAATATGCAGAACATAAAACTTACCGTTGTATCCATTGTTAAGTATATGATTCAGTGGCATTAAATACATTCCCATTGTTATGTAACCATCACCACCATCCATCTCCAGAACTTTTTCATCCTCCCAAACCGAAGCTCTATACCCAGAAAGCAGAAACTCCCCTGAGGCCCTGACAACCACCGTGCTACTTTCTGTCTGTGAACTTGACTACTCTAGATACCTTATGTAAGTGGAATCATACAGTATTTGTCTTCTTGTGTCTGGCTTATTTCACTTAGATTGTCTTCAAGATTCATCCGGGTTGTATGAGAATTTCATTTCTTTTTTAAGGCTGAGTAACGGTTCCTTGTGTATATATACCACATTTGTTTATCCACTCATCCATCAGTGAACATTTGGTTATGTCTACCTCTTGGCTATCACAAATAATGCTGCTGTGAAATTGGTGTATCAATACCTGCTCTGGGGCAGTGTCGAATCGCTGTATTGTACACCTGAAACTAATACTACACTGTATGTTAACTAAGTGGAATTTAAAACTTTTTAAAAAATCAATGAGTTAAAAGAAAATTAACCACTAAACAAACAAGTAAATACCTATTCCCCGGCTCTTTTTTTTTTAAAGAGTTTTTAAAATTTATTTGTCAGAGAGAGCACAAGCAGGAAGAGCAGGAGGGAGAGGGAGAAGCAGGCTCCCTGATGAGCAAGGAGCCCGATGCGGGGCTCAATCCCAGGACCCTGGGATCATGACCTGAGAAGGCAGACGCTTAAAGGACTGAGCCACCCAGGCATCCCCGCCCCGCCCCCCAGTTCTTTTTAAATAAAAGTATGAAACTACCTTTAAGGGGTAGGGGAACTCACTTTAGAACTGAGAAATAGAGGAGCGCCTGGGTGGCTCAGTCGTTAAGCGTCTGCCTTCGGCTCAGGTCATGGTCCCAGGGTCCTGGGATCGAGCCCTACATCGGGCTCCCTGCTCCGTGGAGAATCTGCTTCTCCCTCTCCCACTCCCCCGCTTGTGTTCCCTATCTCTGCTGTGTCTCTCTCTGTCAAATAAATAAATAAAATCTTTAAAAAAAAAAGAACTGAGATAGAAACAAGAGGATCTTGAATTAAAATTAAGCCTCTTGGGAGTAATGCCTGTGTTCTCCTCTAGCCTGAAAATAACTTGCCCCCTCTGGGATTTGACAAAAATTAAAGATCAATAATACATTAAGAGTAGTTCCTTTCACATTCTTTCCTTTTCTTTTTTTCTCTAAGGCCCCAAAACTAGCCTGAAGTTGCTAAAACCCTCTCCCTAATAGTTGACCTTAACCTTATACCAAGGATCAGCCTGGAGAATCAGTAGACTTAACTTTTGAAACAATCCAGATCCTCAGTAAACAATGGCAGAAGTTTTGTTGTTCTGTTTTTAATCATAACCCTTATATGGATCTATATGTGGCTAGAAAAGAGTAGAAGGTCTTGCCAGTCCAGAGACCATTAATGGGACAGTTCATCATTACAATTTATAATTTGCATAAACTTATTAAACTTTGTAACTGTTTGGTTTGAGGTATGAATGGAAAGTCATTTATACACACAGTTTTTTGAGGACCAGAAAATAAATGCTAATAAATCTCAATATTTACTTTTAAGAATGGGTCATAACTCATTTCAAGTTTGAGAACCACTGGTTTAAGAGGAATTGGAATGGGAAACTGAATTAGGAAAGTATCATCATGATCCAAGTTAGAAATAATAAAGACTTCAATTAGGAAATCAGCAGTGAGATATCTAGGGGTAGAGTCAACAGAACTTATGTCCCACACAAAATGGAAAAATGAAGCGAAAATACTACCTTCCTAGAAGGGATGGTCCTAACCTCAAGACCAGATGAGTTTGCCACTGAAGAGAACAAGTAGAGATCCAGGAGCGCTAACTACATTTGTGTGTGGGAGAAGGCCAAAAAACCTGAGAAATAGAAGGAGAATCAATTGGCTACTGTGTCAGAAATGAAGTCCTTAAAAAAAAAAAAAAAGAAGGCCTGAGATTTTCAAGTAGGATATATGAATATCTCAAGAGCAATGAAGAGCAAGTGTAGTAACATGAAATTAGAGTAAGCTTCAATGTTTCTGAAATATTCTTTGAGATATTTTTCCCAGGGGCACCCGGCTGCCTCAGTTGGTAGAGCATGCGATACTTGATCTTGGGGTCATGAGTTCAAGCCCCACATTGGGCAAGGAGCCTACTTAATTAAAAAATAATAATAAATCTTGGGGCGCCTGTGTGACTTAGTCGTTAGGCATCTGCCTTCAGCTCGGGTTGTGATCCCAGAGTCTTGGGATTGGTTCCCTCTCTTGCTGTGTGTCTCTCTGTCAAATAAATAAATCTTTAAAAAAAATCTTTTTCTAAAATATATCTTTGTTGAATGTCTTCAGAGTTGTACTTTATAAAGGGGGTGCCTGGCTGGCTTCATCGGTGGAGCATGCAGCTTTTGAGCTTGGGGCTGTGGGTTTGAGCCCCACACTGGATGTTGAGGTTACTTAAAAATCCAAGGAAGACAACCCAATTTAAACAGAAAATAGGTTTTAGTCCCAGCTCCATCCCTCCAGCCAACTAACATAGGATAAGCCGCTTACCCATTTCTCTTTTTCCTAATCCATTAAATGGGGATGACAATCCATACCCTGCCTACTCCACAGTATTGTTATCTGCATTAAATTGGATAGCCAATGTGAAAATGTATTGTAAAATATAGACCATTATGCAAATAATGGATTATTGGAACTAACTTTTTTGACTGCTATTTACAGGCATTTTTGTGTTAAGAAGCTTTGGACAATTTGTATTGCTAGCAAAGAGGTATAAAATAATACTAGGAAGTTCCAGGTACTCCTGTCTTCAGGGAGCTCACTCTCCCACAGGGATAAGGAAATAAATAACTGTAAACACGAGGGTATAAGTTCTGTGAGAGCAGGAATCAAATCACTAATGTATTTCTAATGCCTAACTCAGTACTTGAAACCTAGTAGGCTCTCCTAAAATATATGTTTAAAAAATTGATGAAATTATGTAATACAAAGTAAAAAGTCATATCAATAAAATACTATGATAGTTTTGAGGAAGGAGAGATTCAAAACCTGGTGCATTGCCTAAATCATAGTAATATACAAATAAATATAGGATGAATTAATGAATCATAGGGGAGATGTCCCCCAAAACTACTTTAGTTACCATGCAGCTTTTGAATGGAGTTGAAGCCATATCAGATGCAAAATCCAAAAATAGCAGCAAGTGAAAAATGGTTTTTAAACCTAGAAGACGCTAAGTTGCTCAAGACCATGGCAATCAGAGAAAACAGTGATAGGTCAGAGGAGATACTCTCAGAAATGGTGTTACACCCAAGCTGATCACTTATTCACTGTTTTGGATACAATGGCAGCTCACCCAGGGGCAAGGGATTACTTAAATGGTCAGATATGAAATTTGGTACTGTGTTCTGTAGGCTCCACGCCCAGCATGGAGCCCAATGCGGGGCCTGAACTCATGACCCTGAGATCAAGACCTGAGCTGAGATTAAGAGTCGGACACCTAACCAACACCCAGTGTTCTGCTTTAAATGTGGCAAGCGAAAGGATCCTGACCATGTTCTCTTCTGTCCATAGGAATAGATAATCTCTATGAGAGGGCGCTTCACATCCGCAAACTCCTCCTGACCTTGCCTAGGTCCGTCCTTATAGTGATGAGGTACCTCTTTGCCTTCCTCAATCAGTAAGTACCCTAATATTCGGCCAGAATGCCCATCTTCCATTTCCATTTGCACTGCTCTGAATTCTTGGATTCTGTAAAATGTACACTGGGTCCCATTTATCAGCAGAGTCAAAGAGAAGTTGATTGAATACAGACTGAAGGTATGTTTTTCTTCAGCAGATCAAGGTCATTGTGTAATAGCTGAAAGATGCAGAAACAGTGACCATACATGCAAAAATATACAATATTACCAAAAAGAACACTTGTCAGTAAAATACGTGTTTTTCCAACTTCCATCCAGAAGCTAATGTCATGAACGTTTTTATCAGAATGATGTAAACCACCCGCTCAGTGCAGAAAATTTCTGTGATTTTTGATGTTGTAGTCAAGGAAGGAGGAGAACTATAGATGCGAATTATACGCAGATCCAAAAAAGAACTTCTGCAAACTCAATATAATGGGCTCTTGTCAAGAAGAAGATATTTGTAAAAGTCTCTGCAACAATGTAACAGAAACCTTAAAAAATCATGGCATTATTTTCAAAGAAACTTTACTGTTTTAATTTAAGCACCTTGATTTTCATTTGTCTTCCTAGGTAATAAAAATGGGCCCCCCTATAAGAACATCTTCCCCAAGCCCTAAGAGCCCCTTGCTCTTCAAGGATCTAGTTAAGTAATTGGAAATAAAAGAATCTGGGAGGAGTAAGCTCGGGGCAATGCCTTCTCCTTCTGCCATGGGTTCATCCTTCCCAAAATTAGAATGTTTTCTCTTCTCTATTTCTTTGGAGGTTTAGAGTTCTCACAAGCCGTGGGGACTTACAACAGGCCTGCTAACTATTCCCGAAATCATACCCACTCAGGCTGACCGCAGAAACCAAGTATCATCCAATGGGGAAATGCCTGCAGGGGACTAAAATATGCACAAATGACAGCAGAAGCCCATTTGTACAGAAATAACCCCTAGGAAGAAGCAGTATCTAGAGAGATGGATATAAACTATGTTTAGGTTATGTAGATGGCCAGAAATCCTATCTTTAAATAAGCCTAGTTACCCAGGTGGTTTTAAAAATCTGAAGGCTTGCTGACCTTGGCGGGCAAGCATGAGGGCTCCGAACCTCTGAGTGCGTTGCTGAGAGGTTCGGGCACGGGCACCTTAGCTGGGCACGGGCACCAGGGCACCACAGAGGAGCTGCTGGGGGGCCAGCTCTATCCAGGGGTGTCACCTGAGGAGTTCCCCCACTTTATGGCAAAGATGAGGGGGATTCTTAAGTCTGTTGCATCTGCAGACATGGATTTCAACCAGCGGGAGGCATTCTTGACTGCTCAAACCAAAAAGCAAGGTGGGATGACAGCTGACCACACTGCCATCATTTCCAAATTCTAGAAGAGCCGTGTAAGACAAAAATTCGAGAGAGCCTCATGAACCAGAGCCTTTGGGACAGTGGGCTTTGGGGCCTGAGCTGGAGAGTTGATGGCAAATCCCAGTCAAGGCACTCAGCTCAAATGTACACCGCTCTTGCGGTAATGGGGCTGGAAATGGGGCAAAGTGGAATGGAATCTGAATTTCTGTGTTTGGCATTTGACCTGCCTAGCTAAAGATGGTTATCGAAGCAATTGAAGTGACCTGGGTTGGGTTTTTGGGTTCTTTTTTTTTTTTTTAATCTTATTTCCTCATTAGTATTAAAGCCTCAAATTTAAAAAGAGCGGGGGCGGCTGGGTGGCTCAGTCATTAAGTGTCTGCCTTCCGCTCAAGTCATGATCCCAGGGTCCTGGGATCGAGCCCCACATCGGGCTCCCTGCTTGGCAGAAAGCCTGCTTCTCCCTCTCCCCCCCCGCCCCCGCTTGTGTTCCCTCTCTAGCTGTGTCTCTCTCTGTCAAATAAAATCTTAAAAAAAAAAAAAAATCCATACGCTTGCGATCTTCAACTTTAATTGCATGTTCCTCCCTTTCCCCGGTCTGGAGGGCCTTGCATTCCTGCCGGCCGTCTACGTGCTCTCCCCACTGAATTTTCCTGGCACACCTGAGCGAATCCCACAGTGAACCAGGAAACGACAAGAGACTAGCAAAGCAGTCTGTGAATCAAAGTTCTCAAAACCTGAATCAAACTCACCCTGTAGCTCAACAGAATTGCAAATGTGCCATGAGTCAGCCGGCTGGCCTTGCTTCCAGCATTTCTGCCCAAAGATGCCCCCTGGCTCGCTGCACCTGCCTTCACGCAGAAACAAGCCCCAGCCTGTTGGGTGGGATGCTTGGGACAGGAATTATGAAAAGAGAAAGAACCTATTCTCCCTTAATTGTAAAATCGAAACATGGATACAACATTTTTATAACAAGCTTTTGCTCTTCCAGCCAGCGCTGAATTAAAAACCCAGAAAGATTAACTGTGACTCTCCCCATCGAGCTTATGTGTGTCTTTCGAAAATCAGACCATTGTTACTCTGAATCTCACTTCTCCTCCATGCATCCATTTTCCAGATGATCTGTAACATAATCGTTGGCTTTACTGTGAACTTTTTTAAAAAGACTGAATGCTTGAGAAATGGCAGAAGGGAGAGACATATGTTAGCTGAGGAAATTATGCTTTTGTATTTTCTTCTTTCTAGGCTATCTTATTTCCAAAAAAGGATAAAGTATCGGGTCATGTGGTATTTCAGTTTCTTTGTGTCTGTCACCATCTCACAAATGTGGCTGAGTCTTTTTTTTTCCTTCTTCCATTTGTCATCTGTTCACCTGGATTTTACATTTCAAGATTGACATTTTATTCATGGAAAGATAACGTCTCTAGCTTCTCTCTCAAACAGTACCTTCTGCATGTGTTACAGGCAGAACAATAAAGAGCTGGCTTATTTTGAGTCACCTCTGGAAAATATCTCACAAATATCCATTGGATTGAATTTAGAAATTAGTACCAGACAACCAGAAACTTCTCCAAAGTTTGTACTTAGCCAACTTTAAAAGGAATGAGAGAATTGGGGATTCTTTTCCCCTTCTCTTGCACTTTTAATGTCTTTTGTGACTGACTGGTGACTAGTTTTGGTACTCTTACCCAAAAGCAAATTATAAAGCCCAGAGTTGTTTGCTTTCTTTCAGTGGTTACAAAGAAAAGGTGCTTTGCTTTCCTCTAGGCTTTCCTCAAGATTTGCAGGGGAAAATGAAATCTGAGATGTGTTTGATTAGTGGGAGGGCATTTTAAAGATATCCATAAAACTTTATGGAGCTCACTACTGCCCTTCCCAGATTTACTTGAGTAGCATTTAGAGCCTCGCCATAGTGTTTATAAATGAAACTCATTCACTTGATCCTGGTCTCCATTGAAATAGAAATTATCTTAAACTCTCTTGTGGCTTTGAAAAATGCCACTGAATTAAGTGAGGATTTATATTCCCCTTTCAGTTTCTTCCTAGTTGAAAGGTTGTAAGTTGCTTCACTTGCTTTGGAATTTGCTGAGGCAACTTAAAGTAGGTGGAACGCTACCTTACTCTAATAATCAAAACCAAATACAGTCAGTGCTTTGGATCCCTGTGTTCAGAATATAAAGTATCGTATTGAACAACAATTTTCTTTTTTCTCTCCTGTGCTTTTTTAACTCCTGTCTTTCTTTCATAGCCTTTCGCAGTACAGTGACGAGAACATGATGGACCCGTATAACCTGGCCATTTGCTTTGGTCCCACATTGATGCCTGTCCCAGAAATACAGGATCAGGTGTCTTGCCAGGCTCATGTGAATGAAATTGTCAAAACCATCATCATCCACCATGAAACTATCTTTCCAGATGCTAAGGAGCTGGATGGCCCTGTTTATGAGAAATGTATGGCTGGAGATGACTACTGGTAAGTCCAAGAAGTTTAGTCCTTCCCTCCCTGGGAAAAGTATGGACGTAGAGATAATCAGTTTAAGAATAAAAATTGACCGGGGTCGCCTGGGTGGCTCAGTCGGTTAAGCAACTGCCTTCAGCTCAGGTCATGATCCTGGAGTGCCGGGATTGAGCCCCGCATCAGGCTCCCTGCTCCCTCCATCTCTCTCCTCAGCTTGTACTCTCTCTCTCAAATAAATAAATAAAATCTTAAAAAAAAAAAAAAGAATAAGAATTGACCATAGGTTGCCAAAGATTCCAATTTTTACAAAAAGAAGAAGCAGGAACACTTGAGATAAATTAGAATACTAAGACCCAAGACAGCACTGGCTTCTTAACTGTGGAAACTCCCATTCATCCCTCCCTTTTCCCCAAGGATGGCATCTTTTTAAATATATCCACCCTACTGCAACTTCGGTAGAGAATAATGGTTTTGAAACATAGAGAACTGTATTAATTTTACTATTATATCAAGCAAAGATAAGTGATTGAACTGACAGATTTCATTTTTATCCTGAAATAGTTTTGGCTCTATATAAAATATTTCAGATACATCATTTTATTTTTTTTAAGATTTTATTTATTTGAGAGAGAGAATGTGAGAGAGAGTACATGAGAGAGGGGAGGGTCAGAGGGAGAAGCAGACTCCCTGCTGAGCAGGGAGCCTGATGCAGTACTCAATCCCGGGACTCCAGAATCATGACCTGAGCTGAAGGCAGTCGCTTAACCGATTGAGCCACCCAGGTGCCCCTCAGATATATCATTTTAAAGGAGCCCTGTCAACGAAACATGTTTTCATTCTTAATTATTTCCATTTCTTACTAATAAGTATTATCCTAACCAATTATAGTAGTAATGGTCATTTTAAGCAAATTTATTTTAAATTTATCTAATTTATTATTAATACATCACTGGGATAAAAAATGGCAGTAATAGTCACTATTATTTAGTATTTAGTATTACTATTATTTAATATTATTACTACTACTACTATTATTATTATATTATCAATATTACATATTATTAATATGGCAGCATAGTCACTAGTGAAGTATGAAGATGGGGGGAGGTGTGGTCAGTTGAACAATCCCAAAGGTAGGGAACCCTGAAATATCTGTGCTCACTATGTGATCTATGAATTCCTGCTTCTAAGAAGTCATACACAATAAAAGTAGCTTTGGTTCCTTGAGCCCCTACTGTGTGCCAGCTACATGGGATCACTTTATGCACTGATCACTCTACCAAGTGAAGAGAGGCCAAGGAGCCTCTCCAAGGACTGCTCGTAACTGGAGGCAGCCCAGGTCTGATTCCAAAGCCCACGTGACTTTTCCCACTCAACTGCTGCCTCCCAGCCCACCTCAGAAACCGTTCTGTGCAGCTCAGATTCAGGAGCAGCTGGGACAGACCTATCTAAGCCCATTCTGGACCCCCCCTGAGGACACTTTGTTTCCCGTTGCCTCACTGAAGGCTAGGTAGAAGTAGAGTGAATAGCTGAAGGATCTTAAATACCTGAAAGTACACTTGAACCATAACAGGGGTCTTACACCACAGTGTGATTGAATGTATGACTTAAGGAAACTGAAGGTTGACTCCTTCCAGAAGCACTCCCTTCTAAATTTAAACAACAAAGCACGATAGATTCCAGTTCTATGGTATATCCAGCAATTTCACACATGAAATTGAATTCAAAAATACTCACTTGATGGGCGCCTGGGTGGCTCAGTTAGTTAAGCGTCTGCCTTTAGCTCAGGTCATGATCCCCAGGGTCCTGGGATCGAGCCCCGCATCGGGCTCCCTGCTCAGTGGGGAACCTGCTTCTCCCTCTCCTACTCCCCCTGCTTGTGTTCCCTCTCTCGCTGTGTCTTTCTCTATCAAATAAATAAAATCTTTAAAATATATATATATATTCACTTGAGCACGTACTATATGCAAGGTACGGACTGCTGAGCTTGGCTCTGTGAAGATAAATGAATCAAACTCAGCCCTGGTGAGATGCGTAAGTTTATCTTCATAGTTGTATTTATCGCAAGGCCAGTGTCACAGTATTTCCAAACATTCAGGGCTATATCTGTAAGTTCTGCTGCCTTGTTCCTTTTATCAAAGAGTGGTATGTGAAGATCTGGTCAATATTATCTGATACATTGGATCCTAGGATTTTGTGGTCACTTCTTTTTTTTATAAGCAGGCCCCATAATAAAGAGTCTTGCAGACAGTAACATGTGCTTGATTATGTCCTTCACCCATGCCTAGTGTTCTCTTATGGGCATCGCTCATTTTAAACAGGAAGTCAATGATAAAGTAGTTATCCTTCTCTCCAACACCGGCAATATAAATGGGCTTTTACAGAATGTCAGGTTCGTTATTTATGACAGATGCATTCCATTTACCAGTATACATTTGAGGAGTGTGGTTGTGTTAAAGGGTAAGTTTTTAAAAAGAATAAAAATCATGACTCTCTCAAATCTGCAATGAACATGTATCAAGAAAAGATGGGAAGGATACTACACCCAATTCAAAGCAGAAATCAAAGAGCATCAGTTGATATGCAGTAAGGTATGTTGAAATGAATTTGCAAAAACTGCTGTATCCACAGGGCAATAATCATATTCCACTGGAATTCAACCAATTTTAATTTCTGTGGATACAAATTATCTGTGTCAAAGATGAAGGGACCTGCACTCCCATAGGACCAGATGACCCTTGGAGCCTCCAGCATTTCATTGAAAGACTATCCAGAAACTTTTGCCATTCCAAAGTCTCATATAGTAACAGTTGTTCATTTTTTAAATCCTTTGACTTTATAAGAATTTCTGTGTCCACTTCACAGTGACAGCCCATACAGTGAGCACGGTACATTGGAGGAAGTGGATCAGGACGCTGGTACAGAGCCCCACACCAGTGAAGACGGTATGCCCTGGTGCCCTTGTTATAAAACTAACCTTAGTATCCATTTTTTTAGAATTGCTTATATAAAGAATTCAGTAGGACACAAAAGAAAATTTATAAAATATGTGTAAAGTATGAAGAATAATATTACAGTGAACATCACAAACCACCACCAAGTTGAAGAAAAAAGACATCATTACCTTTGCCTTCCCTGTTATGATTGCCGTCCTTACTCCCTCGGGGGTAACCGCTATATGTTTGTGTTTTTCAGTGGTTTATTGTTTCATTTTTTATTTTCTTGAACTTTCTATAAATGGAATCATACTGTATATACTTCTCATGATTTTTTTCTACTCAGTATTATGTTCCTGAGACTCACCCACATTGTTGCATGCAATTATAATCATTTATTTGACCACTGTATGATATTCCATTGTATTTATTTTATTATTGATGAATATGTGAGGTGTTTTCTATTTTTTGCCATTAAAAAGAGTGCTGTTAGGGATATTTTGAACATGTATGCTACTGCAGTACTGCAAATGCACAGGAGTTTCCCCAGGACATACGCACCTAGGAGTAAGCATGTTTTCAACTTTACTAGACAGAGCCAAACTATTTTTGAGAATAGCTGCAATGATATACACCCCCACCAGCAGTATATCAGCCTTCCAGTTGGACGTATTCGTCAACACTTAATTTTATCAAATATTGTCATCTTTGCCAATATCATCATGTGTAATGGTATCTTGTGATTTTAATTTGCATTCCTCTGATTACTGATAAAGATGTTGTTTTACGATATAGAGTATTATAGAAAACTCGGTGCATATTGGGGCACCTGGGTGGCTCAGATGGTTAAGCGTCTGCCTTCGGCTCAGTCGTGATCCCAGGGTCCTGGGATCGAGTCCCACATCGGGCTCCTGGCTCAGCGGGGAGCCTGCTTCTCCCTCTGCCTCTGCCTCTCCCCCTGCTCATGCTCTCTCTCTCACTCTGTATCTCTGTGTCTCAAATGAATAAATAAAATCTTTAAGAAAACTTGGTGTATAGTAAGGACAACAGATCAGGAGAGGATTGCCATTGAAAAGATATTTTGTTACTCACAGTACACAAGAGGAAAGGGTACATCATGCCTCAGGTGGCCACACAGAAAAGCACCAAGGTTGGTCAGGAGGCAGAGGTAGAAGGAGCAACTGGGCAAGAGTCTTTGCTGTGCTTTCTGCGGGAAGGAACAGGCAGGGCATGATAAGCAGGCTTCAGATTGGCTAGTGAGAATAATTTCAGCAGGTTCTGGGGCAAAGGGGCTGTCTCTGGTTGTCTGGTACCTGGTCAGGTGATTAGGGCAGGTGAATAGTGACCCAGGAGAGGTGGTTGGGGTGGGCTCTGGATTGGTTGGTTTGTATTTGAAAGGCGCAACAGGTGAGTTGTTTACACTATCTGTAGGAACTGGTGAACCTTGGGAGGGCCTGACCCTTCAGCAGCAGCAAGGTCAGAATACAGAAAATAAAAAATATGGTTCATGTAGATATACTGACCTTCGTGTGCTTCGATTTCTTTTTTTGTGTGAAATTTCTGTCAAGTGTTTTGCCCATTTGGGGCCCATTTGCCTGCCCACTCTTCATTTCTCTGGACTTTTTTTGCTTGGTTTAATTTGATTTGGCTTTGGTTTTTTTCTTATTTATAAGAGTAGTTTGTGGGTATGGATCAGGTCTTTTATTGTGTATATGTTTTGCAAATATCTTGTGCTTTGTAATTTGTCTTTCATGTGCTTATTATGTCTTTTGCTAAACAAGGAAATTTTAAAGGAGTTGAAGTTACCCAATCATGGTTGTTTCACTTTGTGTCTCCTTTAAGAAATCCTTCTGTGCTGAATGAAGGTAATGAAGATAATTCCCCCATATTCTTTCTCTCTCTTTTTTTTTTTTAACATTTGTTTATTTTGGAGAGAGAGAAAGGGCGTGCACGAGCTGGGGGCAGGGGCAGAAGGAGATGGAGAAGCAGATTCCCTGCTGAAAAAGGAGCCCGATGTGGGACTCGATCCCAGGACCCCAGGATCATGACCTGAGCTGAAGGCAGACACTTAACTGACTGAGCCACCCAGGTGCCCCCCCACCCGTATTCTTTTTTAAATGCTTTCAGGTTTTGTTTTTCACACATAGGTCTTTATTCTACCAGGAATTTCTTTGGAGGTATGTTGTGAGGTTGGGGTCCATTCCTTTTTCTCCATATGGATGCACAGTTGTCCCAGCATTAATTGTCCTTTCTCCACAGCTCTGCATAAATCACAGGTTCTCTTTGCACAAGTCTGTTTCTGGGCTCTCCTGTTTTCCACTGATCTACTTGTCTATCCCTCCTGTCTTAATTTTGATACCTTTTAATAAATCTCAATATTTGGCAAATCAAGACCTCTGATTTTGCTCTCCTTAACAATTCTTAATCTTTTGCAACTTCACTTAAATTTTAGACTCAGTTTTTCAAGTTTTTAAAACATACATTAGAACTAAAAACCTGATGGTTTTGATGGTTTTGATAGTATTGTACTAACTCTACATATATTAACATGGACAGAATTGACATTTTTGTAATATTCATTCCTCCAGTCCACAAACATATTTCTAGTTATTTAATGTCTCTCAATAAACTGTTATACTTTTCTCTTTAGAGATCATTTTTTTCTTTTTCCAACAAGTTTAATCTATAAAATTACTTTTCAACACTTTTTTTTTTCATTTTAACAGTTTTTATTTAAAGTCGTATATCAGATTACTTTATTCCCACGTCTTCTCAGTTGTTGCTTCCTTATATTTGCTCTTTTCCTTTCCTACTTGGCAAGGTTTGACTTTAGGTTCAAGGATCTTTTTGCAGTCTTTGTCCAATTTTAGTCTAGTGATAACCCCCTTGGCAGGGTGAATGCCCATGTGGACAGTTGTGCCATTTACCTGCTCTTGCTGTACTCAATGAGGATGACGTATTTCTTCTTGTAACCTGGACCACTTTGCCCATTTGCTGACTTTTCTGGTATCCTCACACAACTTGTACTTCATCATCCTAGTGGATGTGCATGGATCAAATGGTGTACTTCTGTCTCAGCTCTTTGGAAAGAGGGAATGACATAATCTTCCTGTGAATGTGGGAAGGTGCGTTGAAACGCCTTTTACGGTTCTTGCTCCAGTCAGAGGTCACAAAGGGATTGAACTTCATTTTGGCCACTGGCACTTCAGGGATGGCTGTTCGACACTTTTTTTTTTAAGATTTATTTATTTATTTTAGAGAAAGATAGAGAAAGGGACAGAGGGAGTCTTATGCAGACTCTGCACTGAGCACAGAGCCCCACGCGGGGCTCGATCACACAACCCTGAGATCACAACCTGAGCTGAAACCAAGAGTCGGACACTCAACTGACTGCCATGCAGGTGCCCCAACACTTTTTTAATATGAACATATAAAGCTGTCAGTTTTCTCTTAGTACCTCTTTAGCTGTATACATGATCCTTTTATTTTCTCTTTAGCTATGACTAATCTGCTTTAAACCCATCCACTGAGTTTATAAGTTCTTTTCTACATTTGTTTGGTTCACTTTCGCATCGGCTGCTTAATCATTTTTTACAGTCTTTTGCTCTTTACTCATATTAATCCTTTCCATTGTTTTTAAATTGTGATTCTGATCATTCTAGTATCTGCAGTCTTCCTGGATTTGGTTGTTTTTTTTTTTTTGGTTCTTGCTCACTGAGTCTTATTTTCCAGAGTGTTTTGTAAATTTTTTATGTATTCCTTGGAACTGTGTGGAATTCCTTTAGGCTCAATTGAAGGTAAGTTCCTCCAGAAAGGCTTTTCATTTACTTCTGCCTGGGGCACAGCCAACTTGGGACCATAGTGAATTTTTAGCTTGAGGTTTCCCAGGCCACCCAGGTAGTGTGATTTTAAACTGCAAACCTACCTGAGGACTGGAATGTGGTTAGGATTCTTAGAGATGATTTGTTCCAAGGTTGAGATAGATTCTATTTTTAAGTCTGGGAGGGGGCGGGGGTGATATATACCCTCTATGGAGAAGTATGGAGGGCTAGGAGGGAAGAAGATTTCTAGAATTAGAAGCTCACTGTAACACTGAGAGTGTGATCCTTTATGGGGGATTTACCTTCTCCACACTGAGCAGACACTGGACTTAGTTTTTTGTCCAAAATGAAACCTTAAGTTAACCCGGCAGGGAAAGTACCCTCAAGGCAAACTCTGACTCTCATTTTCTCGTCTTCTGTTTACCTCACTGGGTTCCTACTTTTGTTGAGTTTTTTGTCTTTAATATTCCTTACTGTCATGGTAGCTTATTAATGCAATTACCAAGATTTTTTTAAATCCAGGATTTTTCAGGATGCCTGGGTGGCTCAGTTGGACATCTGCTTTCGGCTCAGGTCATGATCCCAGGGTCCTGGGATCAAGCCCCACATCGGGCTCCCTGCTCAGCGGGAAGCCTGCTTCTCCCTCTCCCTCTGCTGCTCCCCTTGCTTGTACTCTCTCTCTCTCTCTGTCAAATAAATGGACAAATAAAATCTTTTTTTAAAAAAATCCAGGATTTTTTGCTGATTTCAGCAAGATGGTAAGGGTAATCAGGATGTCTAATATCCACCCTCTGCCTTAAAAAAAAAAAAAGTTTAAATTGTTTCACTTCAACATGCATTGCATTTTAGATTCCTGTCTGTATATTAAAAAGTTACATCTGAGCCAAAAAAAAAAAAGTTTATGTTTTTAAAAGTAAAATGAATTGACATTTTCAGAACTTCATTTAGAAGAAATTCTTTACAGTGAGAGCTTCTACTTCTGTGATGTTGCTTTTGAAAGTCTCTGGGCCCCACCTCTGCCACCGTCCCTTCTTTTGTCTTGAGTTCCTTTGTTTCTCCATACGATTTATTCCTTTCTCACTGATGACTTCTCTGTTTCCTTGCTTTCCCTAGTGGCCGGGAAAGCTAAGACAAAGCCCCAGCCATCTCTCTTCCCAAACATCAGTCTCCCCACCCTGCCATCTGTTAGTTATTCTTACCTCTTGACTACAAAAGAGAAGCTTCACTGAGGGCTCTGTGTTTTCTATAACGTTTTACCCATGTTCACCTGATTTTGCTGGAAAGAAAAGCATTGCGTACAAAGGACAGATACCCTTGCCCACAGCCAACCTCTAAAGTTCTGTAACTAAATCAACTAGAGTATTGATTATCTTTGTGATACCCAGGTATTTTCTTTTCTCTTTCATGGTATTGCTCGAGAAGGGTAGCTTTTGTTTCTGAAAGAGGCTGTCCTAGAACAGAACCATCACCTGCGAGGGCAGTAGGCGACAGATCTAGGAGGGCAAGTGTCAGGGACAGCAAGGTCCCAAAGAGAAAATGCAATGTACTGCATTTTGTATGAAATGACAAGAAATGGAAATACAAGACTTGATAGCACCAGGCAGTCAGAAAATGAGCTGTACTGAATTTTTTTCTCCTTTACGCAGAGCTGTAGTAGCCATGCAGGAAAGTGAAGTTACCGTGTTCACTCTTGCTGTTATCGATAGCAGTGACATTCCACAGTGTCTCTGACGCCCTTAAAAGACCATGTGACTCCATAGGAAAGGGAATGGTGCATTGCCATGCCCTCAGATTGATTTGCTCTGCAATAAGTAGACTAAGATGTTGTGTAAGTAGCTTATTGATTGACTCTTGACTGCAAAATGACTCCCATGGGAGTAGAAAGAGTCAAAATAATGAAATTGCTCAGAATAACTAGTTGATAAAGAATTACCAATAAAATGTACTTCTGATTCATCGGGTCATTCTTTCATAATCTCCCCACATTTGAATTAAATAAGCAGAGTCTGATAATTCTGTTGCTAGTTGTTTCAACAAATAAACAGAGATAACAAGCATAGAGTGCATGATTCTAAAATTATGATAAAATATGTATATATATATCTGTTAAATAGTCTTAAATAGCCCTTGGCCAGCACTGACAATGTATGACTGAATGTCTAATTAATGTCTAAAGAACATTAATGGTTCTTTCTTCATTTCCCTTTGACAAGTACATAGACTGCACACTATGTTATGGGCTGGTATCTTTCCATTTTTTTCAGTAAAATGAAATTCAAATTACACAGGCATGTTGACATAGGAATTTGCGAAATACATGTCATGAAATTCTTTGTAACAAATGGGCATGTCTTCTTTCCTCCCCATGGATATGTTTATTCATGTCTCCTGTACCATGGACATGTTTATTTCTGTTCCCCAAGGAGAATTAGAGTTAAAAAAATTGGCATCATCATCTCTGATCAACCAGGATTTATTCTTTATCTGCAATTTTAAAACAAACTATAAAGTCAGTCTCTTTGAATATAAAGTTATAGTCCCTTCTCTATAAAGCAGATTTGTAGATATTTAATAAAGCTGCTATTCATATTGTTTTAATAAAGAATATAATTTTAGGGACACCTGGGTGGCCCAGTTGGTTAAGTGTCTGACTCTTGGTTTCAGCTCAGGTCATGATTTCAGGGTCATGGGATTGAGCCCCCATGTGGGCTCCATGCTCAGTGCAGAGTCTGCTTGAGATTCTCTCTCCCTCTGCCTCTCCCCTCCCTGCTGCCCATGCATGCTCATTTGCTCTCTCTTAAATAAGTAAATATTTTAAATATATATATATATAATTTTAGGAGGGAATATTAGAGTGCTAACATATGATCTGAAAGTTATAGTCAGTTGTTAAAGGACTTAAACTATTGTTCTAAAATTATTTTTACACCTACTTTGCTAAGAAGTATATGACATGTAGATTATAGTATTTAAATGTATAGCTGAAATTCACACAGGCCCTTCACATAAGGTAAACCCTAAGCTTTTTCAATGTGTTTTGTTGATTTTTATGCTTGTGCCTTATATGGCCCAGAGAATGTTTGAATTTATCAAGTGAGAAAGAAGCCTAGCTGGCTATCCAGTGATTTCTTACGCAGTTATTCCATACAAGATATTAAACATATTTCAAGAATCTTTGGGGAAAAATAAACTGTTTTAAATGGGAAGGTTCATTGCTAGGCAAAATAGAAGACAATTCCTGAGAAAATATTTGACAGGTTTTAATCTATCATGTGTGCATATATGCTAGAGTATTCAGAAACCAATACATGCTCAGTTTTTAGCAAATGAGACATTGCTCATTGCATAGATACATTTCTCTGAACATTTAGCACTTGTATTGCCCCTTTCTGTTTATTATTGATTAGAAGTTTACTCATCTGTTGTAGATCGCAGGAATGAAAATAGGGGGATGGTGAGAGATAAGAGGAAAGATCATAAGGCCCTGAACTGAAGGGCTTTTTGCAATAAGCTGAATCACAAAAAGCATCTCTTGTAGTTGTTTTGTATAGTTTGTCCTCTTATTTGCCTTCAACCTTTGTGATCAGAATTAGATCAGGGCTGAAATTCCAATTCTAGGCCCAGAGTTCAGTATCTTTTTTTTTTTTTTTTTTTTTTGAGATCATTGTGGGTTCACATGAAGTTATAAGAAATCCTACAGAGAGATCCCAGCTTCCCTCCATGGTAAAAATCTTATATAACTGCAGCATAATATCACAGCCAGGAAATTGACATTGACACACCCCATCTGCCATATTCACATTTCACCAGTTTCACGTGCACTCAGCTGTGTGTGCAGATGTTTACTTAGTCACATACAGTTTCATCGCCAGGGTCCCTTGTGCTCCCCTTTTATAGCCGTTGCCATTTCTTCCCAACCTCTTGGCAACCACTGATCTGTTCTCCATCTTGATTATTATGTCATTTCAAGCAGGTTATATAAATGGCATCATACAGTATGTAACCTTTTGAGATAGGTTTTTTTCACTCACCATAATCCCCTTGAATATCTTTTGACCTCTGGATAATATAATTTTTGAATCTGGTCTTTTAATTTGGGTACAGGACAGTCTAAGTTATGCTTGTTTCATAGGCAACTAAAATTTATTACTGATCCTAGAGAAAACAAAATTATCTTTACTGTCAGTGGTAGTTGGAAGATTTGATAGTCCCAGAAAAGTACATGAAGAAATTAAATGTACCCAAATAGTATTTAATGTGCTGGTTTTTATAAACTTGATTTTTCTTTAAATAAGCAAATAAAGCATAAACTTTCTGGTGTCCTGGGATAGTGATTTTTCCATGTTATCCACGGTTATTAACATGTTACAAGGGAACTCCATCATTGTCAAAATAATATTGGAGCTATTACAACCCAAGGAAAGATCTCATATTATCATGTTGCAAAGTTTAAAATATTTTTTATTAGCTGTCATTCTGTCTCTGGTAAGAGGCTGTGGAAATTAAGATCCAGTGTTCCATTTTTCTTCGCGTGAAAAACTGATGACAGCAAGAGAATGTTTTTCTGTATCTCCCTGAACAGCCTGATTTTGTCCCGCATTGAGGACTTGTTTATTACCTTGTTCGCTCTGGATATTGAAATGGCCTTGTCGATTTCTAAGGCCGCCTAGAGAACGTTCACGTAGCGTTTCATGCTTACCTCACAACTCTGTCCCTCATCACCTTCTGGTGTGTTCTTTGTAGAATGTGAGCCAATAGAAGCGATAGCCAAGTTTGACTACGTGGGGCGATCGGCCAGAGAACTGTCCTTCAAGAAGGGGGCCTCCCTGCTGCTGTATCACCGCGCGTCCGAGGACTGGTGGGAAGGCAGGCACAACGGCATCGACGGGCTCGTGCCGCACCAGTACATCGTGGTACAAGATATGTGAGTAGTGCCGGCCGCGCGGGTGCTGCGGCCGCCGGGCTGCCGCTTCCGCCGGAAGTCTCCAGCCACTGTTCCTAAAGCGACGTTGGTCTTTCGAGAAAGGAGCGGAAGGGATCGCAGAGCCCGAACCTCTGAGCTGGGCACCGTTCTTCGCCTTGCTGTTGGGTCTTTGCTAATGGTACTTCGGGGCCAGCAGGTTTTCATTTTCCAAACTCCACCAGCGGATTCGGAGCAAGGGCTAGTGAGAGATGGAAGCTTTCAGGCTCTTAGAAAAATCCGCCATGTGGAGAATAGCTTCAAGAGCTGTAGAAACGCCGCTGGTTCCAAAACCAGCGGTACTCGTCTCTTGCTGTCTGGCTACCGTTTCAATTCCAGATTCCTGAGAGGGAAGACACCGACCTAAACGTCTCAAAAGAATCATCTTCAGGCTTCCCTTTTTTTTTTTTAATATTGCTGTAATTTAAAAATTAAAGGGATGAGAAGATGGCCATAATATATTAAATGAAAGAAACGGGTTGCAAAATCATATGTACAATATAATCCCTATTTTGTGAGTATAATATTTCACAGTGCAGCACTAATTTAAGAGCATTTTTTCAAGGAAAAGAGAAATAATACCATAAAATGTATACAGTGATTAAATGATTCAGCCTAGGGGCGCCTGGGTGGCTCAGTCTGTTAAGCGTCTGCCTTTGGCTCAGGTCATGATCTCAGGGTCATGGAATGGAACCCCGCATCAGGCTCCTTGTTCAGCAGGGAGTCTGTTTCTGCTTCTCCCTCGCCCTCTGCTGCTCCCCCTACTTGTGCTCTCCCACATTCTGTCAAATAAATAAATAAATCTTTAAAAAAAAAAAAACTATTAAAAAGTATTTAAAAAAATAAAAAACAAATGATTCAGCCTAACTTTAGAAAAAGAAAAAAAATGTTAAAATGTGGATTTCAGAAGCCAAGAAATATTATGTGTATGTGTATACAGACATACAGTCATAGACATCTAAGCTACATAAACCTATAAGTATCTAAGTACAAATACCGTACATATATATGCAGACATCATACATGTTTACCCAGGCGTAGATAAAAAGTAGAGAAGGATATTGTCTCAAATTCTAGCAGCAGTGGCGTCTGGCTGTTATATCATATCATGAGTGACTGTGATTTTGCTCTTTGTTGCACTTCACCTGCAATGAAATGTACATTTTTATTATGAAAAAAGTCATGTTGATAAGAGAAAGACTTAGATATGTAAAGCCCACGTCACTTATTTTTTTTGTCCCCATTCATCTTGCAAAAGACTCTCACTCTTGATTCTCCTTGTTGCAGGGATGACACGTTTTCAGACACTCTGAGCCAAAAAGCTGACAGCGAGGCCAGCAGTGGGCCCGTCACTGAGGACAAGTCTTCGTCCAAGGACATGAACTCCCCAACAGACCGACACCCTGACGGCTATCTTGCCAGGTGGGTGGGGTCTGATAATCAGGCTCCTGAACCTCCACTTTTCCAAGCACTTCGAGGAGCCGCAGAACCCGCGGCTTTGCAATTACCCGGAGTGATAAGCTCTCCTATTTTCTCTTTTTTTGTGTACTTTTAGACAAAGAAAAAGAGGAGAGCCACCCCCTCCAGTAAGGCGTCCTGGCAGGACCAGCGATGGCCATTGCCCCTTGCACCCCCCACATGCTCTTTCCAACTCCTCAGTTGACCTGGGGTCCCCAAGCCTGGGCAGTCACCCCCGGGGCCTGCTGCAGAACCGTGGCCTCACCAACGACAGTCCTGAGAGGAGGCGCAGGCCAGGCCATGGCAGCCTGACCAATATCAGCCGGCATGACTCCCTCAAGAAGATTGACAGTCCTCCTATTAGAAGGTCCACATCGTCAGGGCAATACACAGGCTTCAATGACCACAAGCCATTGGACCCAGAGACAATCGCTCAGGTAGGATGCGTGGAATGGAATGGCACCTGCTGTGTACCTGGGGTGTGATGGAGGGATGCAGGACTTCCTCTTTGTAGTCATGCTTTTTGTAGAGAACCAACTAAAGAAAACAGAAAAGAAATTAGTCTATTCTTTAAGGCCTGACTAAGGGTCTCTTTAGAAGAACAATTTGTTACTGGAAGGGCCCAAGTGATTAGGTTCATATTGATTCAAAGACATGGCAGAAGTGTAGGACCCGGGGCATTCAAACACATCATTGCTAAATAGCCAGTAAAGTCTGGAAAAGAAATAATAATGAGGAAGGACTAACCCTACCAGATCCCAAAAACATGCTAAAGATAATAAAATAGACAAATTGATAGAAAGAATGGAGAGCCAGAAACAGATAAAAGTTAGTGTAGGAGAAACATGACCCTTCCAACTTAGGAGAAATGCTGGATTAGTCCATAAATAGTAGGAGAAATAATAGCTAGCTATTTGAAGAACAGCAGGTCTGGGTCCTCTGTCACTCTTCTCTTCCCAACAGTTTGTGCAAAGGACTTTGTAGTTTTTTTCTAATGATTAAAATTGACAAAGGTAAGACAAGATTGATTAATGGATTTTCCATCATTCTGCCATTTTTCCTCTAGTTTTTTTTTTTTTTTTCCAGCATAGGCCATCAGAAAATATGGGTATCACCAATGACGAAAAAGGTGAATAGATTCAGGGTCTGCCATTTTAATCTAAAGCATCTTCCAGCCATCTGAAGCTTAAAAAAGAGCTAAATCGATCAAAAAAGAGAGTGAATGAGAAATAAATGAACAAACATGGGGAACTATTAAAGATGAATTATTTTTAATAAAGAGTGCCCAAGGAGACCTACACTGATGTGACAAATTTCCAAGCTCTTTCCATTGTCCTAAAGAAAATTTTGGATGTAAATTAGGTTGTGAGGGGTTTAATGTGTTTTTTAAAAATTAAGCCAATTTTTTTTTTAAGATTTTATTTGTTTATTTGACAGAGAGAGAGACAGTGAGAGAGGGAATACAAGCAGGCAGAGTGGGAGAAGGAGAAGCAGGCTTCCCGCTGAGCAGGGAGCCCGATGCGGGGCTCGATCCCAGGACCCTGGGATCATGACCTGAGCCAAAGACAGACGCTTAACGACTGAGCTACCCAGGCACCCCAAAATTAAACCAATTTTAAATGTATAGCAATTTCTCAGCAAAAATCAAAAAGACCTTTTGGTTTTCTCTATTTGAAATACTATACAGGGCCCTTGGAGACCTATATAGAATCAGTGATATTTGATTACAGCTGAATTTAACAGTTTGAGAAATCTATAACGTCACTGCTTATGATAAGCAGGTGAAAGAGGATTTAGGTTAGAAAGATAGGGAATTAGGAGCTTTGGGGTGGGAAGGTGTAACAATGCCTGTTTAACCCTTTTGCTTCTAGAACCAGGAAATCCTTTTTGCTTGTTTCTTTGTTTTTGTTTTTAAGTAGGCTCTATGCCTAGTGTGGAGCCTAATGCAGGGCTTGAACTCACCACCCTGAGATCAAGACCTGAACTGAGATGAGTCAGATGCTTAACCAACTGAGCCACCCAGGCACCCCAGGAAATCCTTTAACTGTAAATCATAAAAACAAAAACTCAACAGATAAAGCAGGCTCTGCACGATCTGGGGCAAATACTTATAAAAAAAATCCATATGTTTAGCATCAAATGGAAATAACATAAGAAAATAATCACTTGAAAAGTGATGTCATCTTCCCAAAACGGCTTCCAGCTGTGTCCTTTATTTATCTTTCCATCTCTCATCTTCGGATTTTCCCATGAGGACAAGTAAGCCTGCCATCGTGGTGTTCATACAAAAAACATGCAGATGCTCTTATTAAACAAATCAGTGGAATCCCTGATGGGGCTTTTTTAAAAACAACAGTATCCATATGTGATCATTGTATCTTGGTTTAGTCATTTAGCAAACTTTTATTGAGCACTTACTATGTGCCAGGTCCTCTGCCCGGCTTTATAGAAGCAACGCTAAATCATTACCCAGCTGCTTTCTGAAGGTGCTTGCAGTGCTGTGAGGGAGCTGGAAATGGAAATCCGTTCCCATTATGCAGCGTCATGAGGGTTATGCTCCAGGTGAGTGAAAGGAGCCCCGGGAGTGTAGAGAAGAGGTGTGTCAGTCAGACCTGGGCGATGGGTCTTCACCCCTCCCGTCCCACACAATACTCCACCGTGGGTGTGTGTGGGTGTGTGTGTGTGTGTGTGTGTGTGTGTGTGTTAAAGCACATAACGTAAAATTTACCATTGTAACCATTTTTCACTGCGCAGTTCAGTAAAGTATATTCACATTTTGTGAAACAAATCTCCAGAACTCTTTCATCTTGCAAAACTGAAACCCTATACCCACTGATGAACAACTTCCCTTTCTCCCCTCCCCACCCCCAGCCCCTGGCCACCCCATTCGGCTTGCTGCTGGGAGTGTGACTTCCTCATATAAATGGAATCATACAGTATTTGTCTTTTCGTGACTGGCCCCTATTTCACTTAACTTCATGTCCTCAAGGTTTATCCATATTGTAGCATGTGGCAAGATTTCCTTCCTTTTTAAGGTGAATAACAGTCCATTGATGTATATACCACATTTTGCTTATCTGTTCATCCATCAATGGAACACACTCTACCTTTTTGAAATATGTATTTTGTAATTCCCCCTTTACTGTCTGAAATAAATTGACAGATGAGATACGTAATTTGAAAAAAACATATAAAGCTCTAAATATAATATACAAAAATACAAGGAATTAAATATTAAAACAATTAAGTGTACTTCAGTTAATGCTTGACTAGGCTAGAAGACAAAGTAGTAAGATGCTTTCACCTACGTATATAATTACCATAAATACAACAATTAAAAAGGCATATTGATAAAAGATAGAGTTAGGGTCAGGGCTCACATTATTATAAACAGGATTTTCACCTACATCAATGTCTGAAGGACATTCAGAAGTTGAACAAGATGCAGGACAGTTCATTGCATATAAATTTATCTGGGACACCGCAACAGATCTAGTATGTATGACCCCTGCCCACCAAATGCCAATAATGCCACCCCATTCTTGTGGCATTTAAAAGTACACACACACACATGGGAACCTGGGTGGCTCAGTTGGTTGAGTGACCGGCTTGATTTCGGCTCAGGTCATGATCTCATGGGTGGTGAGATCAAGCCCCACATGGGGCTCCACGCTCAGTGGGGAATCTGCTTGAGATTCTCTCCCTCTGCCTTTCCCCCAACTTGTGCTCACACTCTCTCTCTCAAATAAATAAATAAGTCTTTAAAAAATAAAATACACACATAGCAGACTACAAAAATGCCGTCTATGGGGCAGTACCACTTCGCTGAGATCCACTGGACAAGAGTATCAGGGGAAGGCTTAAACTGAATTTTGAAGAACTGCTAGGAGTTAGCCAAGTATATAGTAAGTGCTCAAAATTATTTGTTAAATGAATGAAAGAAGCCTGCTTCATTCCCATTCCCATCTATCTCTTGAGAAATTGTTGCAGTGTCTAAATTGAAGCTATCTTTTAACCATAAGTTGAAATAGAATTCTGTACAGTAAGTCAGCATGTATGGGAGAAATCACGAGAAGGCTGCCTGGCACCTTGGGATGGCCGGTGTTTGATAGATGACTCCACGCACCCTTGCATCTTGGTCTGCTGACCACGCAGTCAAAATAATAGTGTGGGACAGCCCTACGTGTATACATCCTACCGCCAGCGACGTTAAAACATCATTGCTTTGCAGGCCTGTCTGCTTTGAGATGAAGCGTAAGGGTTTCTGTACGTTAGTACTAATTACCATTCTCTTCTGTCTCTCTCTCTCTGGTTATTTTTCAACAGGATATCGAGGAGACGATGAACACTGCTTTGAATGAACTCCGAGAGCTGGAGAGACAGAGTACAGCAAAGCATGCCCCCGATGTGGTGCTGGATACCTTAGAACAAGTGAAAAACGCTCCCACCCCCGCCACGTCCACGGAATCTCTCAGCCCCCTGCACAACGTTGCCCTCAGGAGCTCGGAGCCGCAGATTCGACGGAGCACCACCTCCTCCAGTGACACCATGAGTACTTTCAAGCCTCTGGTGGCGCCCAGAATGGGTGTGCAGCTGAAGCCGCCAGCCCTTCGGCCAAAACCTGCTGTTCTTCCGAAAACAAACCCTACTGTAGGACCTGCCCCACCTTCCCAAGGTCCAACAGACAAGTCTTGCACAATGTAAAGACCAAGTGGGCAAGGTCATCTGGGCTGGTGATTTTAAAAGAAACAGATCAGTGACAAAAGTCGGTGATCCATAACTTTCCTTAGTTTTGTGCTTACAACTGGAGATTTTTGGCTTTTCTATGTTCTCGAATGTAATGTCTGAGACTAGTTAAATTAACACGGGCATTTGTATTTTGTAATTTTTTCCTTTTTTTTTTAATAACTGGACATATCTTATGTCATTTTAAAGACAATAGAAACACTTAGATTTACTTGAAAATCCAATGCTGCACCATTTGTAATGAAGACAACACCGCTCTGCTCTCCGTGTGGTATAGTGCTTCGGGTTTAGTGCAGCCCGGGTGAGTCAGAAATGTCTGGATCCGAAGGCACGCGAATCTGAGTTCCAGGCCTTGGTGTAAAACCAGTGTTGGTCTGTGGCACTTGGGGTGGTGGCTGAACGGTGCTAACGGCATTGTTAGGTAGCTGACGGTGAGCACCTCGGACCCGTGCGGGGGGACGCTCCCAGGGGAGGTTGCAGCCCACCGCCTGAATGAGTTGGATGCTTGCCTCTTTCATAAGAGTCCCCTCCCTTGGGTCCAGGTTAAAAGCTCAGAGGAAGGGGGGTGAGAACCCCTGCAGTTACTGCTTGAGCTGAACCTAGGAAAGACGAGAGAGAGAGAGAATCCTCCAGAGCTCTCGGTGTGACTCCTTCCACAAGCCTGATCAGGCCCCCGAAGATTTCCAAGTCCATCCCCTGCATTCACAAAGGACTAGAACAGTCTAATTTTAAAGACTTCCTGGTTGCACTACTCCACAGACTCCTTCAGAGATCTGTTGTTACCAACTGCCTAGCGAATGCTTCTAGCTCCCCGAAACCGCTGTGTTCTCCCCCTGGAAATGGAGCACACACGCGGCACACAAGTCCTTGCCTCACTCCACCTTCCCTCTGGCTAAATGACCTCGGTTCCTTTAATCAGGCTGCACAGAGGCCTGAGGAACCTAAGTGGAATCCCCAGCTCTGCTCTCCGTTTGTGTCTCTGAGCCAACAGAGAACTGGCTCCGGGAGTGGAGGACGCGCCATGCTGGCCAAGGTGGGAGGGGCACCTCATGGTTCCAGGGTGATTGCCTTCCAATCTGGCACCTGGAACCACTGACTTTTTCCTTTCCTTTTTTTTTTTTTTTCCACGTGGTCTCAACAGAACTCAGATAGTCAGGTGAGCTCCGTGAGGGACCTCTTTCTCTGACATCCTAGCACAAAGACAGTTTTCCCTATGTTTTCCCTCTGTCTTAAAAAGTTGCTTTGAATTCAGTTGTTTTTACTAAGGTACAAATCACCACTCCTACCAGCAGCAGCTTATGCCATCCTACCTACTTTGTCACTGAACTTACTGATGAAGAGACCTTTTTTTAAGAAAAATGGATGTCCCAGACTAAGCCCTCTCGACCACCATTGATTTCCTTCTAGGTTTGGATTCAAACTGGCAGCCACTGGCCTGCCCATCTAAGAGTGACACAGTATGGAGTTGAATCTGTTAACCCACTGGTGAATTCCTCCCGCAGGAAACAATGAGGATCTGTACGAAAAATCAAGGTCATTACTGTGATCTCTCCCTCAATTTGCCAGTCTAATCATTCTAATGCAGAGAGAGATTAAATTAATGAGATAGGGTTACCTTTCAAAGTCACACTTCTGGTTGCTAGCTGGTGGCCTAATTTCACAAATGGATTGAATGGAGAATTTTTTTTCAAGTATTTCCAGGTATGGTAAGCTTTTAACTCTTTGAGTTTTCTGAAGCATCCTCTTTGCCCATTTTGAAAACGATGCCCAGCTCAACATCTTGTCCAGCCTCTCACCATTTCTCTTGAGCTCTCTTGGTCTCTCAGCAATCTGAGACACCAGGGAGACTCAGCCAGGATTGAGCTCTTAAGTAGCACTAACCCTTTTAAACCATCTTCCCAAATTCCTAGGAAACTGAAACCTTCCTGAATAACCTCCCAGTTCCTTCCAGATCCCACTTTGGTCTCTAATTCTCTGCTGCTATATGGGGAAACAGAAGCAGAGAATAAGAAATGGAAATAATTGGGGGGGAGACTTTAAATCTTTTAGAAATTGAAGTTAAAGGATTTCTTTAAAGCTACTTTCCATCTTTGATAGAAGAGTAACACGTTACAGAGGGCATCAAAAGGGCAGAGGCATGTTGAATTCATTATGGGGAGAGGAGGTGTCTTCTGCAAGTTTTAACTTAGCTCTTACTCCTGCAAGTTCATGTCTTCAGACTTCTCCCTGGTAAGCCTGCCCGGTGTCTCCTCTCTTCAGTGTTTACACCTCTGATGAAATGAGGGTTGCCTTTCCAAACACCAAATTAGGATTCTGCTCCCTTAGGTAGCAGGGGACTTGCTGCTCTAGAGCCTCAGAGCCTCAGAGGCTGGGCCTTCTTGCGGGAAACTTCTAGTGCTCTCCCATCACGCCCTTAAATGTCTCTCTCTTTTCTCCCTATATCCCTGGTGACACCCCGAAACCTTTCTTTTTTTTCTATCTTCTCCACCCCTCCACCCCCCGCCCAATTCCCAAGGAAGGATGTGACCTCACAGTGAGTAAGGACTCACGTTTTCTTACTTTGTTTTAGTAAGAGTCTCAGATTCCAGGGATAAGACAAGGTGGCCACTTCACAAAGGATCCAGAATTACATCCTGTAAGCTCATTAAAAGCTTCTGCAGCCTCACCCACCATGTGGCCCTCTCTATAGCTACCAGTGTGGCATGAGGTGGGGAGGAGGGAAGGTGCGAGGGATGGGCAAAAAGGAAAGAATCTGGAGATGTTATGTCCCAGTTTCAAGGATCATATTCTTCATGCATGGTTTGGGAAGGAGGTTATTTTGAGGATGGGCAAAGGATGGCCCTACAGAGATTACCAGACTCCACTTACACAAGAATATATATTCACAGCTGATACAACTGTTCATGTCTCACCCACAGAACTCACTGAAGTAGGCTTACCAAGTTGACCTTTTGGTTGGGGTCAGGGGTGTTGGGAGAGGATCATCAGGAGAGAGAGAAAGGTACTTAGTATAGATTTTCTGATGAGTGTTCTGTAAATTATTTGAACCAGTCAAATGGCCCTTTGCAGAGCTCTGTATTCATGTTCACGGTCAACACTATCGTTCAACAGTTTTGCACATTTTCACACAACGTAATTTGACTTTGGTGCTCCTTGAGCCATCCATAGAATAATTTACAGCAGGGTCCCACTTAATCTACTGCAGTGAGCACAAACAGCCATCAGTAGATGGAGAGATCAGGTCACATTGTATCAGTCAAGAGTTTTCTTCGTACTTTTGCCATTCCCAAAATGGGCTTATAATTTAATTAAGGAAAAGATACAAGTGGGAAGGGTAGTAGTGTCCTCAGCTTTGGGAATGACACGGGGTCTACAAAATGAAGAAACTTTAATATGATAATTACAACCTCTAAAATTTAAAGAGCCCATACTGTATGTTAACTAACTGGAATTTAAATAAACTTTAAAAAAAAAAAAAATTAAAGAGCCCAGAGGTCTGTTGAGGATTTAGAAGACTTCAGATTTGGGATCACATTCGTTTTATTCCACAGTAGTGAGAAACCACGAATGCAGGACAAGCACTTGGGACTGAGTCTTGCTCTGAGTTACCCACCACTGAGGCTTCAGCTGCAGAGCCACTTAGAGGTAAAGGCTCACCCATGTGTACAATAGAGCTCCCCACTCCAGACTGTCCCCTGAGCTGAAAACCCAGCCTCCAGCTGGGCTGGGTGTCAGGCTGGGTGCAGCGTGACTTTGGCACACACACCCCCATTCAGATGAGTAAAACAAACTGGAAATCGAGCTTTCACTTACCCTAGTATACGTTCTTTAAAAGAAATAGTCTATGTGGTATAATCGAGATGGGTACCTGTATCTTTAAATTACATAGGGACTTTTGTATGTTTAAATAATTGTACTGGGTTCCATAATGCTTATCTTAGAAACTGTTTAGTAAAAGGAAATATATAAACCGTGCATTTGTGAATGCCCCCTTTAGAGCATTCATCCAAGTTCAGTGTGTAGTGTGATGGTTATTCTAGATGTTTAAAGTAAAGTGAGTGGCTGTATAACAGGAGAGACTGCTATTTACCTATGGACTCAAGGGTAACTCCTGCCCACGTAATTAAATCTGTATTGTCCTTTTCTGTCGGTTTGATCAATTACAGTACTGGTAGCTTCCTGCTTGTGACTGTTACCTAATTGTGTCGATGTACATCTGTAGTATGTACATGTGAAAGTGCCTTTCTATTTTAGAGGAGTTTTAGCCTTGCTTTTTACTGTCGCCCCATCCACCCGCCCCACCCC